ACAGATGGATATTAGAACTGTGTGTGCTTGTGGGTCTGTGTCGGTGGGTGTGTTGTGTGTGTGTTTGTAGATGCATGTTTCTGGGTTGTGTGTGTGTGTGTGTGTGTGTGTGTGTGTGTGTGTGTGTTGGGAGAGCAGCCATTGTTGTTCATACTGAGGAATAATTTCCAAATGTATGTTGTTAATGACCAGACTGCTAACAGAATCAGCTGCATTTAACCCTAAATGATGGATATTTACTGCAAGTGATCTGTACCATTAGCATAACAGAACAGAACACTTTATCCTTCTTAAGCCCTGCGCTTTTGTCACAGACTTTACCCAGTGCACAATCTTGAAAGCGGGCTGACTCAGAATTGACCACCATCTGCCGTTGCTGACTTGGAATCACCGTGAGATTTGTGCAGCCAAAGACCCACCGATCTGAGCTGCCTGTCCAATTAGTTAAATAAACTGAAAGGGCTTTGCTGACAAAGTAGTGATAAATGCTCCGATGATAATTATAGAACGGTGTTTTCACATTGCATCCATTGGACATGTTTAATTCTGCGCCAGGCGTCTCCCATGTAATTTACAAGATGCAGGGAATTCAAGAGTGATGAGGGGGACATGGATGAGCGGACTTAGCTGCCGTGGACGCTGGGCACAGTGCAGCCCAGCCCCTGTGTTCCGTATCCCCAAGGGCAGCATGCTGAGGGACAGGGCACACATTTGCTGAGGCAATGAAGGAGGGCAGAGCCCTGTGCCCCCTCTTGCCTCAAGCAGGTGCAGGTGCAGAAATTCAACCACAAGATACCTTCTTTTTAGCAACTTTTTGAAAAGGAAGATGAATAAATATAATGACCTTGAAAGCAAGTTCTGCCGGTTATTTTGAGTTGTCTTGAAATACATTAAAACAAGTTCACAACCAATGTGTTTAAGAGTTTATTAGGATAGGCACATAACAGGAAGCTCAAAGGACAACAAGTCTGCTCCTTCTTAAAGGCTGACCCACGATGGCACTCAAAGCACCCTTTTGTTAGAACCGGGAGGAAGAGCTCGGTCTCTGAGCCTTCCCTCCTCACAGTCTGAGAAACATGCACAGGATGAGGGTAAATCCTGCAGAGAAATCTTGTCATTCCAGAATGAGTCAAACAAATTTGAAATACACATATTTAAAAAGACTGACATTCTCATTTAGTGTTCGTGAAGTGATTTTCTGACATTTACTATCACATCTGACATCACAGAGCAAGACTTATGCAAGGATTTCATTCAAGCTGATGCCAAATCTGCACAAAGAACTCCAGCCCAGGGGAATAGTGGGTAAAATCTGCTGAAAAGAACTGCTTGCCACCTTGCAGATAAGAGTAACAGTGAAATAAAGGGATTCCAGAGCTTCTACCTAAAACAGAAGGGCATTATCTGCAAGAACAGGCCAAAACACAATTTATTTTTAAATAAGCCTTTCGGTGAGTATTTGTCTCATGAATCTAGTATGAAAATCATGTCTTTAATTAATGAATATATGGAGAATTTGGATTATCATCCTCTTTTTTTGGTTGAGAAAATGCACAAACCATATAGATTTGAGCTATGGGTTTTGTAGCCAAAGTAGAGACGATGTTTTCAGGGATCTATCTCAGATTCCATGCTAAAGTTATTGTTCAAGGTGATGGAAATATGCAAGGACATTAAACCATTTTGCAGCTGCTAGAAAGCCATGTTTTCCTGTTTTCCTGATTTAGACAATGGAGAAGCTAAGAAGAGAAATAATAGCAAAGGGTTTCCTATGTTAGTTTTAAAAAGACTGTTATTTTTAATTCAATTTTTTGTCAAATGGCATTTCTGTTCTCCCAGTTTTCACAGAAATATTTATAGGAATAAAGTTTGAAACAAAAGTATGTCATGATCATCTCTATCCATCAAAAGATTGCTCAGAGGTAAGATGCTCAAACAACTACTCATGAAGAGGGTGGAAAAGACAAAGAAACTTAGAGAAAAGAAATTCTTTTAAGCTCAGTTCACCCTGAAAAACGGACATAACACATGCATAGAAAGGTTTACATTTTTATTTCACATTTTTGCCCAATAGCAGGGAAGATGACATGAGGCTGGGCCTCCCTGAAGCTTTGCTCCTCTGCCACTGACTAACAGACAGGCCTCCAGGTGGCCTGGCAAGGCTGGCAGCGACCGCAGCCCATGTCCCCAAGTCCTTAATGAGCGCCTCATGTGGTTCTTCCCCACATTACCCAAACGTAACATCATAGCGCGACTCACGGATGTATTGCACCGCAACGCTGTGGCACTGCCAATGATGCTTAGGTGTGTGGGCCGTGGAAGGCAGAGACCAGACGTGGCGGTCTTGTCTGGAAACCAAGCTGTTGAGCAGGAGTGGAGTCCCTCTACAGAGGATGCTCACCAAATTCTTCCTAAAGCGTTGTGGATAACGGTCTTGCCTGGTTTTCCTGTGATCCTCAGACTATCTGTGGGAATTGTCCTCCTGCATCACCCTTCTCAAACAAGGAAAAAGAAAGAAAGGGCAGTGATGGCACCTGAAATTCGGGAATGAGTGGGCATGGTGAGCTGTGTGTGTGAGATGTTCTCTTTACGTCATCTGCTTTGAGAGGTGGGATGAGGGGAGGGAGAGAGTTTGTCCTGAATATATTCAATTTTCCCAAGAGTCTCCCAGAATTACTGAGCCATTTGGACAACAAATCTTCATTGTCTTATTTTCTATCTTCAGGTGAAGCCTTCCACCAGTCCCCACGGCCCTGGCTTGTTCTGTGCTGAACAGGTCACCGGGACAGAAACACTGTGTCTAGTGAGGATTTGGCAGGTGACAGGGAGCACCTCTCCCCACTCTGTGACCCCTGGATTCCCTGCTGTGCCACGCCTGAGCAAGCGGGGGCCCCTCTGGATAAAGAGAGTTTCTCAGTGGCCCCTTGGATGATGGGCATTTGTTTACCCACTGCTGTGGCCCCCCGAGATCCCCAAAACAGGAATTCCCATGCCTCAAAGTGACAGCAAAAATAAACAGGAGGATAAAGCACGTGTTTGCGGCCAGTGGTTTCCATCAGACCCGTTTCCTGAGCTGTTGGGGTGGGCTGCTGACTCTCCCCAAGCAGTGGGAGTGGTGTGCAAGAGACAGCACCATCCAGCAGGAGAGGACCTAGCCCTGCCAGGTCACCTTTTAAGAAAGTGGACTCTCTGTCACCCATTTCTCCCCTTGTGGGTTCCACAGAGGGGGTCCATGCCCTCCCTGCTGTTGAGAACGGGGCTGCATGTTGCCACCTACAGAAAAATTCAGAGACCAGACGGTGGTGCTGGGATGTGAGAGCAATCACAACACTGTGAGCATAGCAGGGCTCGTAGTGACCTCAGCGAATTCAAAGACCCCGGGATTCATACACAGACTTTGTTGGGGCTCTGAGAAGCCGAGGGCAGGAATGGCTCCTTCACCCCAAATAATAAGGACAAGGATTTTCCAGGCCCAGAGGGAAAGGTGTTGCATTTGCATTTATCTCAGTGTTGATGTTGGTTAGCCGTGTATCCCGCAGTGTCTTTAGAATCCTCTGGATGGCCAGACAGCTGCTCTCCACGCCACAGACTGCCCAGCTCCACAGATCACCTAGAATTCTGTGGCCAAGGAAGTGTTGCCAAATGGACACAGCCTTTGTCTCCCTTAAGTGTTAAACACCAGAATTCCAACTGAAAACTGAAGACCATGAGATGACTTTAAAAAGAAATTCCAAACGCCCCACTGAGCCCCACAAAACCTCCATATTTCCTTTCAGCTCCCCTGCCCATTGAGTGTTCCATTAAAAAAACATCTGAACCAGCCTGGCACGGTGGCTCATGCCTGTAATCCCAGCACTTTGGAAGGCAGAGGCAGGTGGATCATGAGGTCAGGTGTTCAAGACCAGCCTGGCCAAGATGGTGCAACACCATCTCTACTAAAAATATAAAAATTAGCTGGGTGTAGTGGTGGGTGCCTGTAATCCCAGCTACTTGGGAGGCCGAGGCAGAGAATTGCTTGAACCTGGGAGGCAGAGGTTGCAGTGAGCTGAGATCGCGCCACTGTACTCCAGCCTGGAGTGACAGAGTGAGACTCTGTCAAAAAAAGAAAAATCTGAACCATAGCATCTATATTTCAAAACTGGCAAGAGTATTGACTTAAAGGCCCTGCACCTCATGACTTTTTAAGTACTCCAGGGTACCACCTCCGAGACCGATGCTTTGCTAAGGCAAAACCAGAACAAGGAGGCACCCTTTCTCTGAGGCTTTGGGGTCTTGGAGGGAGACACATTTCCTCTGCCTGTTCTTCTGCACAGTGGCAGCAAAAAGCCCAGAGGCGACATGAGGCCTCCTAGAGATACTCAGGTAACTTCTAGTGACTCTGACGATCGGTGACCCCCAGGGCTGTGTTCCAGTGCCCCAGGCAGAATGGTGCTGTGAGAGAGAGAGACAGAGGAGAGAGAGAGAGCATGCACTATGGACCACATTATCCTAAGGAGAAATCTTTGCAAGTGTACCCTTTAAAATGAGGATTTAAATTTAAATGGCTTTGAGCAGGTTTTGCTGACAAGAAGAATTTTAGTTAGTCCTCTTTTTCCCTCCTCCTTCACTCCCCACCCCCATTTTTAAGGAAAAGTGACACACAGAACACATGTTCCTTAAGCAACCTGCCTGCCTGGCCCCTGCTTGGTGTGCGCCCCACCCACACTTCAGGATTTAAAATCTCAGGATGCTGCATCAACTGTGAACTGCAAACTGTGCTAACATGCTCTAAAAGGATAGCCTTCAAGCACAGTGCATCATCTCCCATTCACACGTCCTTTAGGAAACAGTTCGATGGAAGGTTCTGCAGGGCTTCCTCCCTCTGCGCTCAGAGCCCTGCATTCCTGGAGGGATGAAGTGGAGGCGGGGCCACGCACAGGGCGTCCAGGGCCTCCCGGGATGAAAGACGGGCTGTTCATGATTTTGTTTCCTTGTTAGTGTTAATCACATCCACAGTCAAGTGTGTGGCAACCTCAGTATATTTAGATGAACGAATTCAAGTATCTGTGAACAAATCCCTGCCCGCTCCCACCTAGCCCTGTAGGTGACGCGGCTTCACAAAAACACCCATAACTCACTTCAAGCAACTTTGCTCATACTTTTCAAACTTCCTTTGCAAATAAACCCAAGACTACTAGAAATGGAACTAGGGAGGCACTTCCAGGCTCCTGGTGACCTAAGCGGTTAATTGCACAGCTAGCCATTCTGGGGGACGTCAACAAGATCCCATTCAGCAAGACTTGTGCTGGGGAAATGCAGGAATGCAAATGTAAAGAACTGTTTCCAGTCCTGAACATCTTCCCTTCGACCAAAAAACCAGAGCGTCTCATCTAACTGAATAGTTAATTGACTTAGTTTTCATCCCAGGAAGAGAAACAAATCATTTCAATCCTAATCAGCACGAGTAGCCTGCCTTTTCCTCTTAGGTGGTCAAAGTGAGCAGAGAAGCTGTTCAGGGGAGCCCCTAGCCCCGGCCTCCTCACACCCTAATCTGGAATCTATCACACTGGAATTTGAAAAGGGAGATGTAAGAATCATTACGGAGTCACAAAATTTCCACCGTGGCAAGCCAACACACAGCTTCCACTTCAGGAACACCACACATGCGTAGAGAATACCTGCGTGTTCTGGGGCCTTTAAGGAGAAGGCTTACAGTTGTTTGCTAAGATTCCAGTCCAGTCTTTCAGAAAGATGTGGGTCCCCCTTGGGATGGGGAGTTCAAAGTTCTGAGGGCGGTGGCCGATGACTCTACTGTCTCTGGGGCCACCTCACTTTCAGCAGTCTGTCCCAGGTGTCGGACTATGAAAAACAAAAGAGGCAGTGTTGGATGCCACAGTGCCCCTGCCCCCTGTTCACCTGGAGCTTGGGGAGAGAGCCCTACCAGCAGCCCTGCGCAGACCGGCAGCATGCGCTGCTAAGGGAGCCCTTGTTCCTGGCGTGGGGAGAGGTTGGGGGTCGGCTGCCGGGATCGGGCTGTTTCCGCCCGCGGGGAAGCTGTGCCTGCTCCTGCTACTGCAGTCGGTGCCCCACGCCTGCCCGTCCCCTCCCCCGGTCGCTCAGGGCCCCCTTTACCTGTACGCGTTCTCCATGGCCCTGCCCTCCGCTCGCTCTGGAACCCAGGAGTACCTGTCTGCCGCATTCTGAGGCTTCTCCTCCTTCTCCTCCCTCTTCGCTCTCCGCTTGCGATAGACCAGGAGCCCCAGAGCCAGGGCCAGCAGGAGGAGGATGGCCACCACGGTGCCCAGGATGTAGAACAAAAGCAACTTTTGCCCGTCAGTGCCATCGTTGTTTTGTTTGTCGACGGAGGAGTCCCCACCTTCAGGCTCCTGGGGGCCAGAGATGGCCGTGACATGATGGATGCTGGGCTCCTTCCAGATGCGTGGGGACCCACTAGGGGCCAGCATTTCCAGTGGGTCAGAGGTGACTGGGGCGTCAGGTGAGAGTGAAAGTCTTCTTGTGGTGGGTGTGGCCCTGGGGGTGCCCTCAGGGCCCCTCGTGGGACTGGCTGCTGCAGCGGGGGCCACGGTGCTCCCCTCTTTCTTTCCTTTGTACTCCTCCTCGGGGGGCCCAGATGGTGGTCCCACAGACACAAGCCCCATGGTGCAGGAGACCCCATTTGGGGCCAGCTCCCAGCCTGTCAGGCAGCCACAGAGGAAGGACCCTTGTGTGTTGAAGCACAAGCTGTCACAGGGGGAGACCCCAGGGCCTGCACACTCGTCCACATCCTGGCACTGAGTGCCGTCCTCCTCAGCCAGGACGTAGCCCTCCTGGCAGGAGCAGTAGAATGAGCCGTCTGTGTTGGTGCAGCCCTGGGCGCAGGGCGAGGGGTCCAGGGCACACTCATCCACATCCCGACAGACACCCTCTCCAGGACCACCCGGTTCGTAACCAACCCAGCATTCGCAGCGGAAGCCCCCAGGGGTGTTGACACACTCCTGGGCACAGGGGGAGTCCTGGCATTCATCCACATCCACACAGTCCAGCTGACTTGAGTCCAGCTGGTACCCTTGGGGACAGTGGCATGTGTAGTTTTTCCCATGGGAACCCTGGATGCATGTGGCCCCCCCACGGCATGGGCTGGAGCTGCAAGGGTTACGGGAGGCACAGGTCACCAGGTCGTCCAGCAGCCGGAACCCTGGCCGGCAGCCGCAAAGGAAGGAGCCATCCCCTCCTTCAAAGCAGTCCTGGTGGCAGCCCCCATTGTTGAAGTTGCAGCCATACTTGGGGCTGACACAGAGAGGGCCCGAGCTGCCCCAGTCGAACACATCAGGGGCCTTCTCCTTGCACAGGAAATAATGACTCTGACTCTTGTCCTGGTCCCCATCCCCACAGATCACGTTGGCCGCAGAGGCAAAGGGCACAGCTTCCAAGGAGGAACTGGTGGTCTGGAAGGGGGTGGTGTAGGTCACCTGGCCTGGGCCCCCCAGGGCCAGGGGCCGGCACATGCCTTTGAAGCTGAACTTGCACACGAAGCCCTCAATGTTATTTCCGGGGGAGTCTGAGCTCCCACAGGGGCCTTCGGACCACCTGGGGAGGTGGCTGGAAAGGAGAGGCTGGGACAGGTCCAGCAGCAGAGACACACAGCGCTTGGAGACGCACGAGCTGCGGAGCTCCTTGTACCAGTTCGCGTAAGGCGTGTCCTCCCCGCCGCCCACCCAGCTGAAGCCCTTCAGCGGCAGGCTGGGGTCCAGGCACTTCCCCTTCTCTCGCTGGAGCCCGATCCAGAACTTGCCCATCCTCGCCGTCAGGTTCGCCTCCAGCCTCAGGAGCTGGGCCAGGGCTCGCTGGATGTGCTGGGCCTCCTCCCGGCTCTTCACAGTGGCCAGGTTGCCCCCATTCTGGCTGCAGTGGCTCTGGGCCTCGGCAGCGCTCAGCTTGCCCCAGTGGGCCGTGTAGCAGGCCATCTCCGCGCAGACCACCGCCTCCGTGTCACCTCCCATGCCAGCCCCTGGCTGGCCCAGGAGTAGCAGCAGCAGCAGGCCGGTGAAGGTGGCCATCCCGGTCTCCATGTGCCCCTCGGCGGGAGGCGAGAAGCCCAGCAGGGACAGCAGGGACAGGAGTTTCTATCTCGGCTCCCAGCTGGGCCCTGAGGGGAGCTGAGGGGTGAGCTGCAGCCACTCTGGCCCAGAGAAGGACACAAAGGCTGCGGGCTTTCCGCGTCCCCCTGACCCAAGGCGTATCCTGTGCTGTTGCACTTCTTATTTCTCACCGGATGCTGGGGCTTCCTGCAATGAATAGTTCTCTGACTCCTGCTGCCTTCATCACGGGGCTGTTGTTCATAAAAGGAACCAGGCGGCTCTGCCGGGTCCCTGGCTCAGCACTGTGGAAACTCAGCAATGGGTGGGGGGTAGGGAAGACGTTACAGCTCCGACATCCCGCCGGCTTGATTTTGGCTCCATTCTGTTTCTCATGGCATGAGGAGCCTCAGCGGTACGCCACGGAGTGCGCAGAAACTTTGGGGGCTAGAAACTCAAGGAAGCTTCCTTAGTAATCCGTAATAAAATTCTACTTCGGTTGCAAACCATCAAAGGAGAAAACAAAAAATTCTGAGACTTAAGACACAAGACCATGGATGGTTATAATTTTCAGCCTTTTTTAGAAGCGAAGGAAACTGGACTTTGCTTTTGTCTATCTCGTGTTCTCTGTTGGCTTTGGGAGTCTTTTTTCTTTAATCTCCCCATCGTGAACTTTAAATAGACAGGCATTTTTTTAAATAGGAGCCGGGTCATGGGAATGTCTGGGTTTTCAACATAATGCCAAGCTCCTTGAGAATGTGAATCCAAATTGGATGAAATTTGGCAGTTTGGGGGGTTTCACAATGGAAATATTGCATTGTGAGTGGCAGGGTCACAAAAAGCATCAGAAAGAAAATGAAAATGTGTCTGGCCTCATGGCGCAGGGCTCGCATTCTCACTTTTCCTGGCTCAGGATTCCCAGCAAGGGTCGGAAATCTGGGCAGGGAGTGGGTGTCGAAATCCGGGCAGGCCCTCCCACGACACCATCACTCGGCAAAAGCCCTGGAATCACAGGGTGCTTTTCCTGCAGTCACACACCTTTGCGCATTGGTAGGGATCCCCCGGGATGGGACCCTGAGACAAGGATTTGGGGAGACTAGTTTATTTGGGAGGAGAAGTGAAATAGACAAGGAGGAAGCCAACCCACGGTGACTTGCTGAGAAAGAGACCCTGGGCTGCTGCAGGGGCTGGTGCCAGACATTCTGGGGGCCTGAGACACCTCAGCGCCATCCCAGTTGAGGAAGGGGCTCAGCTGTTCTCCAGGTCTCCTGTCATTGTCAGCAGACTGTATCTCTCACTTTGAGAGACTGGCTGTAAATTCGAGCCCTGCCCAGCGACCAGGGTTCCTTCTCACACAAAACTTGTTTCTATGGACAGACACACTTGTGGCTCTCGTCTGACCCGTGTCCAGTTTATTCCTACCCAGACAGCCACTCCCTAGGAGGGCCCAGACAAGAGGAGAGCTGGGTTGGGGTGTGAGTTAGGGGAGACACAGAAGGCAGCACGAGAAGACGCAGGAAGCAACAGAAGCACCGTGTCACTTACAGATCCCAAGGAGAGGGCAGCGCACCACACGGGACCAGCGGGAAGCGGAGCGCTGCCCGGATCATGCACGTTCGCCTGGAGTGGGATGAAGGGAGAAAGAGGGGCCTGAGACCTAAGCCTTTACTGGGGTCCAGGGCGTTTCCCAAGCAGGTTTCCCATGGGGAGTTCTCACTGGTGGGTTTAAAGCAGCCAGACCCGGGCTGTGTAGGGTCCCTGTGACTGAGAGGTGGGCATGGCGGCATGTCTGGGAAGTCCCTGTGGGGTGTGGGGTCAGTGCTGCCATCCAGTGGGCTGTATCTGCCTGTCCCACAGGGAGGTGGTCACCAGGGGTGGGTGTACAAGGCAGATATCTGGACCAGCCATATTGAGGAACCGGGAGTGGGTGGAGCCCTGGACACCGTGTCAAGGGTGACAAAGCCCTGCTTCTGGTGGGAGAAGGTCCAAATTAGATTCAGAATGGAGGCTGAGGCAACGTGCAATTATAGGAATTCACTACACAGCGGCAACTCTTCGGTGCTCTGTGCTGACCGTGAGAGCCCCAGGGGAAGCCCCACGGTGGAGAACAAAGGGAATGCCTGTGAACCCGGCACCAACTCCCAACACAGTGGCCTCCATGGAGATGTTCGGTGTCCCAGGCGCTAGGAGCTTGCTGGCTCCCCAAAGGACAAGGGGTCATCTCCGACTCCAGCTGAAGACCTTCCTAAGACTGTGCCTTAGGTCCTTGCATTTTAGCAAAGATATTTGAGACACTGGGCACTCTCCATAGACGCCATCGGATGCTCCCTGTGCTCCCTCACCCATCCATCTGTCCATCCGTCCACCATCTTACATCTATTGATTAAGACCCTGCTGTGCACTGAATGAGGCACTGGAGTCCAGGAAGGGATCCCTGTCCCCATGATCCTCAAGGCCTGTTAGAGTGGACAACTATGAACAAGTCATGGCACTGACGGCTTTATTGCACGCAGCACAGGGGATGGGGTCGGGTGGCATCCTGGTTGGGGGATGGGCAATGAGGAGAGGCTCCTCTGGGGAAGACAGGCAGTAAACCCGGAATCTAAAGGAGTAGCAGCTCAGAGGTGGAGTGGCGTTGGGGTGGGGCAACAGCATGGAGGAAGCCCTGAGACAGGGAGTGAGTGAAGTGCAGGGAAACCCAAGCCCAGGCAGTAGGAGACAGGAGGCAGGGGAAGGTGGAGCCCCCTGAACCCCAGGAATGAAGGCTTTGGGCTTTGTCCCGAAATCCACTGGGAAGCACTGAGGGCTGGCGTGAGGCCTTGTCCCCAAAGGACAAGGGGAATGGTCATTGGACCATGTGGAAGGGAAGTGGTCATTAGACCCAAGCAGTGGTGGTGGTCATGGGGTGGCCTCAGCAGGTGGCTGCAGGTTTCCAGGCCAGATGAGAGCCACCTGGACTGGGCTGACCCCAGATTAGAGACGGAAGATTGAAGAGCTGTGGAGGGTCCAGGTCCGAAGTTCTCTGTGCTGGGGTCAAGTGGGGTGGAAGAGTACTGGGGTGGATGGAAGGGCACTGGGGAGGTAGAAGGGCACTGGAGAGGTGGAAGGGCACTGGGGTGGTGGAAGGGCACTGGGGTAGGTGGAAAGGCACTGGGGAGGTAAAAGGGCACTGGGGAGGAAGAAGGGCACTGGGGTGGGTGGAAGGGCACTGGGGTGGGTGGAAGGGCACTGGAGAGGTAGAAGGGCACTGGGGTGGGTGGAAGGGCACTGGGGTGGGTGGAAGGGCACTGGAGAGGTGAAAGGGCACTGGGGTGGGTGGAAGGGCACTGGGGTAGGTGGAAGGGCACTGGGGAGGTGGAAGGGCACTGGGGTGGGTGGAAGGGCACTGGAGAGGTGGAAGGGCACTGGAGAGGTGGAAGGGCACTGGAGTGGTGGAAGGGCACTGGGGAGGTAAAAGGGCACTGGGGAGGTGGAAGGGCACTGAGGTGGGTGGAAGGGCACTGGGGTGGGTGGAAGGGCACTGGGGTGGGTGGAAGGGCACTGGGGAGGTGGAAGGGCACTGGGGAGGTGGAAGGGCACTGGGGTGGGTGGAAGGGCACTGGGGTGGGTGGAAGGGCACTGGGGTGGGTAGAAGGGCACTGGGGTGGGTGGAAGGGCACTGGGGAGGTGGAAGGGCACTGGGGAGGTGGAAGGGCACTGGGGTGGGTGGAAGGGCACTGGAGAGGTGGAAGGGCACTGGGGTGGTGGAAGGGCACTGGGGTAGGTGGAAGGGCACTGGGGTAGGTGGAAGGGCACTGGGGAGGTAAAAGGGCACTGGGGAGGTAGAAGGGCACTGGGGTGGGTGGAAGGGCACTGGGGTGGGTGGAAGGGCACTGGAGAGGTGAAAGGGCACTGGGGTGGGTGGAAGGGCACTGGAGAGGTGGAAGGGCACTGGGGAGGTAAAAGGGCACTGGGAAGGTGGAAGGGCACTGGGGTGGGTGGAAGGGCACTGGGGTGGGTGGAAGGGCACTGGGGAGGTAAAAGGGCACTGGGGAGGTGGAAGGGCACTGGGGTGGGTGGAAGGGCACTGGGGTAGGTGGAAGGCACTGGACATGCAGAAGGACTGCATGGCTCCTGTTTGTGCTTTTGGGAGCTGGGGTCCCGGACGACTGTGTCCGCTGGAGTTGCCTGGTTCTGAGAACACGGGGACTGCCTTTTGAGGGTCAGAGTCCCCCACACCCCCTGTTCTTGTGACCTGCCTCCTCAGGAAGCTGAGTGTGCCACCAGAGCTGGGTAAGTAGCCAGGCGTGAGGGGTCCAGGGAAGGCTGGTATCCCTGGCTCCCAGCCGATGTAGCTGGCCATGAATTTGGGCTTGCCAAGTGTCAGTCTTGTTCTCTGCCTGGGAGAAGCTGCATTTCTCAGGGTCTGTTTACAAGCAGGTAATTTCTTAACACTGTAAAATCAATCCTGCAGCCTTGGCATCCACTCATAGCAGGAAACCTTTCTTGTGGTCTAGGCCCCTGTTTGGGCAGCTCAGAGGTGGATTCCTCCGTTAACTTGTGATCTGCAGAATTCACTCAGCATTCTACCTGGTGCTTAAGTGTATGGGCTAAATGAGTGCCTTTCAGCATGTTAGCCACTCTGATCTCCAGATCTTTACCAAGATAGCTTCTTTAGCTGTGAGTTCTTCATCCTCCGTCTGGAAACTTTCAAACCAATGTTCTGGTTTGAAAGCTTACTCTACTCTCCGCTTAGCCAAGTGATGACATCTTAAAGAAGAAAATGAACCAGCTAGACATACACTCCGTTTTTCATTCATTAACCTTGGAAGTATCTGTAAAGCACCGACAGTGAGAAAGACCATGTAAAATGCAGAAACTGCCCTGCCCTGGGAGTCTTGGATTTTACTTTATTGTTTTCAGTAACTTGGTTAACTCAGCCCCAGCTTCTTATCTATAAATGCAGAAGCGGGAACAGGGCCTCTGGAAACTTTCTTGTTCTAACAGTAATAAAAGTGAAATCATGCTTAACTCTCCGGTCTGGGATTAGGGAGAAAGCAGGTGGGAAGAGAGTGGACACTGAGACCCCTTCTGAGCCCTCAACATCCCACACAACTAAGCAAGCCTCTGTCTAAGCTGCACATGCAGTTTCATCCCAAGTTGACCCACTGGCTCCCAAGACTCAGGGCAAGTTTCCCATTCCTCGTCCCCCGCATCTGATTTCCATTCTGTCCCTTCACGCTTTGGCGGCTACCTGCTGGGCTCAGGTGGGTTAATT